CCAGTCACCAATCTATTGGAAATCATCAGAATCAACGATAAATCAAGTGATCACGTTGCAGAACAGTTTTCAAATTGCTGGTTAGCAAGATATCCACGACCCAATAGATGTGTTCATGACAATGGCAAAGAATTCATAGGAAGCCCATTCAAACAGTTACTGAATCAGTATGGAATAAAGAGCGTCCAAACTACTGTCAAGAACCCACAAGCAAATGCAGTTTGTGAAAGAGTGCATCAGACAATTGCTAATGTTCTACGAGCTACTCTTCATTCAACTTCAATTGAAGACRAGGAGTTTGATGAAGATCAGATTATCGACAATGCTCTTGCATCTGCAATGCATGCCACCAGGTGTGCAGTGAATGCAACTGTGAAGACATCACCAGGAGCCTTGGTATTCAATAGAGATATGGTGATGGATATCCCTCTCATTGCGGATTTGAATCTCATCAGAGACAAAAGACAACATCAAATCGATGAGAACCTTAGGAGAGAAAATGCAAGAAGGATACCCTTCAAATATCAGGTCGGGCAACAGGCCTACATGAAACACTATGAACCAGACAAGCTGTCCAAAAGACTACATGGTCCATATCCTATCGTGGAGATCAACACTAATGGGACAGTAGTGTTGCAAAGAAGTGACAATGTRCGTGAGACAGTAAACATTCGGAAGCTTGTGCCGCATAAGGGAGCTCCTGAAGACACTATTGCAGAGGAAGAACCCCCAGCTGAAAATATCGAAGATATGATTGCTACAGTTTAATAGTAATAATACTGGAGGCAGTATTATTGTGTGGGATAATGCAACGTACCGATGAATCGTTACATACGATACGAAGCTCCGAAGAAAAGAATGAAGGATCATACCATTCCTACGTACCTATGGTAAGGTACGCTTCCTATGTATGTATCATAGGATGCATCATAAGAGGTCCRAGGATCGTAAGAGGTCCAAGATACGAGGTGCGAGAATACCTCACGAAGAACAGAGATGTCACGAGTCCGGAATAGAAGAACCTTCATGTAGATTCAGTACCAGATCTACATKAGGATCTAATCGGAACTTCAGAATTCTCGTGAACGCGCTTGGTAATCTTCAAATAATTCTAATCTTATAATTCAATTTTCATACACACTTAACACCTACTAAGAGTACACGTAATCTCGTGCAGGACAAGGGGGATGTCCCTCTCTTACTGAGCTGCCACCACCGTAGTAAGGACAACAATAATGTCCAGTTTCCTCTATTGTTTCACTTGTTGTTGCTACTAGTACTTTTTACAAGTATCTTTACTTAAAAACAAAGAGAGGCATAACTGGAGTTCTTCTTGGTTCAGGCAAGAGGAGGCATACCTCTCACAATATTTAGTACTACAATGTACTAGTATTCCAAAGATGGTTGGCAACAATTCATTGCCTGCTCCATCAGGAGGCAAGCAAAAGTACTAGTAGTAGATGGGTCAGACTGTGGCTGCTGCAATGCCGGTGGTACTACTGCAAACTACTTCTCAGAAGAGGAGATTGTCTCTTTAATGACCCTTATTAAGGAGATCCTGCCCATTGGTACCAAATGCAACTGGCTCATGGTGCTTCACAGAGCACATGGACAGAGCTATCCCCATGGTATGTGACGAACAACAGTAGAAACAAGGATTCCCTTAGGAACAAATTACTTTGTTTGAGGATGAGACAGAAGGCACCTACTTGAAATTCACTTGTCCCAGAGTTCATTTACCTTGTCTTTAAGCTTGCAACAGACACCCATTGCTTGATGGCATCAAGGCAAATCTTGGAAGTGGAGAGGAGATCATACAGCAGGCTGAATAAGGAAATTTCTGAGCAAGATATTGTTCTGAAATTGTATCCTCTCTTGCAGCAGGAAAAGATAGAGGCAGAAAAAGACACAAAAGCTGATGAGAGGGACAAGAAGGAAAGGGCTGATACTACTAGGGCTGTTGAGCAAAATAATCAGTGGCTTACCTTGACCMAAACCTTTGCTTCAACAATGGCAATGGTGCTCATCGGGAGCATGAGCAACAGGTGCCAACACAGTGAACCCCATGGTGATAGTGGCTTTCTTGTTTGACAGTTGAGGAGTGCTGCTTGTTGGTCATCACCTGACTCAAGGAGGAAGACAAAGGGGGAGTGTGTATGTACTTCTGTTTTTTCTACATATCTGCACTGGAGTTTTTTGTTTCCCTTCCCATTTTTCCACCAAGTGGTTCCTTCTCTTGGCCATCCAGCAGTATAGTATGCAAATGGTCTAAAAAACAATCCTTGTCCTTTTGATTGCTGGGAGGGAATTAGTAGTAGTATGGTCTAATATTAAGGACACTGGCACAATAAATGGTGCACACAATTTTAAAACTAATTTTAGAGGATGATTGAAGACTTGTGTGATTATTTTACAGAGCTTTGTAAAAAGAAGTAATACTTGTACCCTAGTAAGAAAGGCATAGGCACCATTTTTATGTGATGTAAGAAGTCTTCAATCAATTCAGTTGAGATTCCAAATTGCCTAAAAATTGTCCATTGGCTAGTACTATTAGTCGGTGCTATTAGTCGGTGCTATTAGTTGGTGCTATTAGTCAGTGCTATTAGTCAGTGCTATTACTAGTAGTTGTAAGAAGGTAACTGTGATCTAATAGTGCAAGGAATACATGCCTAGTACTGGGCCTAAGCCACCTCAATTGCAGGGACAGGGGTGCAAAAACAAATGCTAGCCAAACAGTGCTAGCCTCAATCCCTTTCTTGACACCAAGGACTTCTGCTCCAGGGGATATGAATGGATGAGAAAGGAGGACACTGTGGATTGATTCTAACAGGGAGGAACTTCAGGATGGCTCCAAACAGTGCTGGTTGCGCTTTGTCCACACCTGCAACAATGCCCACCACCTTGTGTTCTACACCCACCCACACCGCAAACAAAGACATGTTCCTGCTGCTTGTCTGTATGGGGGGGGCTGCTTTGTGCAAAGTGGCATCAATGCTTTGTTATCCTCCATGGAAATTGTGAACTGGCTTGCAAGCAGGGGGTGCACCCTTTTTGTTTCCGCAGCTGGTGTCTCCTTGTTGCTGGCCCCTCCCATTGTTGCTGGTTTGTAGTGGGAGGAACAACAGTGGGCTTTGCCCTCCACCAAATGTGTTGGCCTGATGCATTGCATTGTGTGCTTGCTACCTAGGTGCCAAATTGAACCAAAAGTTGTGGTTCTGTGGTTGTATGCTGGTGGACTGGATGTACTGACACTGATAGTATTGGGATGGGCTTTGCAAGCTACAATTCCTTTGCTTTGCATTCTTTGCTCGTCTGCATTTTGTATTTGCATCTCATGTAAAATACTTTTTGTGAGAGTACTTGCCAGGGACCTTTTGAGGCAGTCTGTTCTTTGTAACACCAGTTCTCATCATTTCCAAATGTTGCTCCTCACCCTTCCAATCCAATACTGAGTCAGAGACAAAGAAGTTATCTGCTGTGGTATGAGGTGGTGATTTCCAAATCTTTCCAGATTCAATATTAAAAAGAATAAAGGTTTAAATAATGTCATAAGCTTCTGCTGCAGGGCCTCCTACTGCAATATCTATGATGTTTCCAGGTCATAGGCCTGATGCTGTCCACATCACCAGACATGATTACTGTTTGCCCACCACATGTAATCATCTTTCTTCTTGTCTCATCAATGCATAAATCCCAACCAGGAGCTTTCTCAGTCAAATAGTACTTCTACTTGTTTTTGTTGACAATTGTGTGAAAGAAGTAGTAGTCAAACTTGTACAGCAAATTAACACCATAAGCTCTTGAGCTTGAGATATCAAGATTTCCCTTCCTTTCCTCAGGGAACATCATATTATCTATTGTAGTATACTTTGTTGCAAACTGATTGTTAGGATCTTCAACTGAGCAATCCCAGGCAAGATAATGAAAGTTCCATCCAGTCTTCTCATGGTCTCAGATAGGCATTTTACCAAGACCAGCATGCTATTGAGGTGTGTACACAGGCTTGGTGTAGTAGTACTCACATGGAAGATAGTACCCTTTGCTGTACTCCTCAGTTCCTATCTCAAATTTTGGTCTGAAGTAATTTTCAGAACTCAAGTGTAATTTTGTGTGTTTCTTGAAAAAAATTGTTTTGAAAATCATAGAAACATAGTTGATATATACAAGTAGTAGATGCCACATAGTCAATATGTGGTACTAGCCCTATTGGCTGTCTACTAGTATTAGTTATAGATTATACAGGAGGATTAGGAAAAGTTTCAAAAATTGAATTTAAATCAGATTTCCAATTAGAGTTGAATCTAATTTGTATCCATTTTGTAGTACTATTGTTGATTTGAAATAGTTTCCTGAACCCCCCGATAGTACATAGAAGGTAGGGAACATTTACTATGCACTCCTTGTAGTAACACCACTCTACTACTGGTCAGGGATCTACTACTAGTAGTGGCTTATTGCACATAAAAACACATTGTTTCTGAACGTTCCTGATACTGATACTACTAGTATTAGGGGTAGTAGTTGTGTTATTACTATTACTTTTTTAGTAGTAGGCTAGGCAAAAAACTATGTCCAAATAAGGTTTGATGTGTGTCGTATCCGGGATCAATGTTGATCGTTTGCTTACGAAAAACTGGTGCGGAGCTCTTTTAGAACGAGATATAGAGTAGAGATACGAATGCTACCATAAAACACAATTCAAACACAGAACCAAGCCATCCATGGAAGTACTTATTCCATATAGTGAATGATATACTGTGGTGGGCTATAAAACTCAACAGCGTTGTGCAAGCAAGGTGTTATTCCTTTAGCGATGTATAATAGATAAAACTATCATTATCTAACCGACGAAGCGTATATTTGTTTGTCGTTTGCCTCGGAAGAAGGAAAAGAAATCGGAACCGCGTTGTTTGATACAGCAACTATTGGAGAAGAGTATCCATCCCAATCTTCCAATCCGCATTTTGATCCCATCGGATCCACAGTACATTACAACTTCCGCTGCTCGGCGGCCCGAGCGTGACCCTCGAGGCCTTCAAGGCGTGCCATGACGATCGAATCATCGACCATGCCCTGGGAAGCCTCCTTGTCGTCCACCCGCATCCACGTCCGAATCCGCAAAAAGTTGAAAACGCTTAGGCCACCGGTGTAACGTCCGGTTCCACCCGTGGGCAGGGTGTGGTTGGGTCCTGCTCCGTAGTCCCCCAGGACCTCTGCTGCTCCGACACCAATGAAGAGACCCCCGTAGTTAGCGCACTTGAAGGCGTCCCCGTTGGAGTCTTTTGTTTGGACCTCGAGGTGCTCGGGAGCAATGTCATCGGAGATAGATATGCACTGGGCGATGTCCTCACAATGCACGGCGAAACTCTGCTTCAGGGCGGCCATGGCCGTGCTCCGGTTGGGCTCCGGCAACGCGTTGACCTGCTTTTCGACCTCGGCGTCTATGGCATTGATGAGGTCCCCGCAGGTACTCAGCAAGATAGCACGGGCTACAACGTCGTGCTCGGCCTGTGCGATCAGATCTGAGGCTACCACGGAAGCTTCGGCTGTTTCGTCGCAGATGACCAGCACTTCCGACGGGCCGGCAAGCATGTCGATCCCGCACTTGCCACTGACGATGGACTTGGCGGCTGTGACCCACATATTTCCAGGGCCGCAGATGACGTCGCAGGATGGAACCGATACGGTCCTGGTGGCGTCGGCGTCGTCTCCATCGCTTCCGGCGATCTGAATCTCCATCCCAAAGGCCATAGCGGCAATGGCCTGGGCCCCTCCTACCCTTAGGAAGACGTCAGCTCCGGCTACGTGAGCGGCTGCGAGTGTGATCGGGGCCGGCTTCGGGCTGCTCAGAACGACGGTGGGACAACCCGCTGCACGGGCCGTGACCGCCGTCATTAGGACGCTGGACGGCAACGGGTATCGCCCGCCGGGGGCGTAGCAGCCGGCGGCTGCAACAGTAGATTTGTGTTGGTATTTGTATTGATATTGATTTGTGGTTGTTCCAGAAGCAAGAATCCATGTCGGAGCGAAAGGATCGAGTGAAAAAAGAGTGAGATGGGAAGGAAAGACCAAGTAACATTTCACAAGGATAGGGACTTCGTTGGAGTCGAGGCGAAGACACGAGTTCTGCACTATTGTTTTACATGCTACTTTTCTCTTCGACGAAGAAATAGCAGTATAGCTTGGCGTATTCGAATGAACGAAAATCCAAAGGGAACCGCAATCCGCTTTCGGAACCAATCTTCCTCGACCGAACAGATCTTTGTTGGTGGAGAGGTTAGATTCATCACCCTTCCGAAGCAGTTAGCCTTCTTTTTTCGTGCTCCAGCGTTGCATTGCGTTGCCCATCGAATTACGTTACGTACCTCGGCAGGGGCTGACGGTGTGCCCAGCCTTTCCCCCGGGAATGTCCATCTCTGTGTCTCGGATCGAGGCCCGCTGGAGGTCGGCAAAGGCCTTAATCCGTCGATGCATATTCGTGAGGGCGACCCGCTCGGTTTCTCCTAGCGCTAGGTACGCAGCCTCGCAGGCCTCTTTGCTAACAATCAGGTCTCCGACAGTGGTACCGTCCTCAACATCACCAAGGCGCTTGGCGACCTCAAGGAGTTTCGAGGGATCGACCCTTCCGTTGTCGGTGGAACCCTCGGGCACCAGCTCGGAGAGGATGGCCTTTGCTTGCTCAAGCGCGCGTGGATTAACAGGGTCTTTGATTTCGAGGGTGACCTCGGAAGGCGAAAGTCTCTGGAGAACAGCGGTATTGGACATTTTGTCTGAGGTGTTGCTGTTGTCACTTTTGCTGTCACTAGTATACGTTGCAGAGTTGTGGGGCGGTTCTTCTGCAATGTTTTCGTTTTTGGGTTCGAACCTGGAGGTGCAGAAAGACCTTTTCGTGCAAGAAAGGGTCGATCGATTCGGGGTGCAAAGGAAGTGTGAAAGTGGTCGCTGCTGCTGCTCCTGCTCCTGTTGGTGATGGTTCCTGGATCGCAGGGCAAAAGCAGAGACAGTGTTGGAGGTCGAGCTTCGGAAAAGAAAACTACACGGATATGATATGTGTAAAAAAGAGGCTTGGAACAAGAGAGAAGAGGACAAGAACAATTGGTGTCGTATGCCTCCTTGCATCTGTTGTGGAAGAGCCAAAAGCAACGGGAGAGGAAGGAATATGGGTCGGTGGTTGTCTGTGTTGTAACGATTGAGAGAGAAGGGTGGTGGTGGTGGTGATGGTGATGATAATTCTAGAGTACCAGGTATGGGGTACTCGTACTAGTTCGAGTTCGAGTTCGAGTACGTACGAGTCGGTACGAGTACCGTAAGTACAGTAATTATGTTTTGTGATGTTACTGTATTCGTGAGGTATGACTACGAGTACACTACTGTACGAGTACGTACGTACGTACGTACGTACTCTACCAACTACTATATTTTTTGGTTTGGTACACTCGCCTCGTACGTTTCGAAAGGTATCACATTACATACTCATCTATTTTATTTACGGTACGTTTTTGATTGTTGATTTGATTGTCTTCGGGAATTCACTAAAATGCTAGTCGGATGAGTCCTTCATTCCATGTGTGTGGTTGGGAATGGATCGGTTGGTTTCGTGTTTTCTTGGCGAAGTAAGGGAATAATACGCAGCGGTTGTTTTTGGCGTACGTACGACGTACGTTATGGTAATCGTCTATTTACTGTACGAGGTTGTGATGTTAAAAATCGCGTGCGATTTATAACAGGTTATGAGTCAAACTTTTGCGAGCCATTTTAAGTAACCAGGAGCTCCTCATCTATATCAGCAGCCTTGTATCAGCAGCCTCGTATCAGCAGCAGCCTCGTATCAGCACCCTCCGTATCAGCACCTCCTCCGTATCAGCACCTCCTCCGTATCAGCACCTCCTCCATATCAGCAGCCTCATATCAGCAGTCTGGTTTCCAGGTGGAACTAAGTGACAGCTTGAGCTCCAGGGTGTAATATATCGCACTGTTCTTCACGTAGGCCTGTGTAGAACAAATAGTACCAGAAAAAGGCTGTCACGCAATAGATAACACCACAACCTTGTACTCGGTTTTGATTTAGCTGTGCGTACTAGAGTACCAGTCAATCGGTAATAAAATGCGTTAACCGTAAGAACCCTACCGCGCTCTACTTGAAAAAAAGTAATTTTACTCCAAGAGATTTACCCAAAAATTATTACTAGTAAGAATCACGTTTAATTTTGTTAATTTTGAAGCCCAGTATTTAGTACTGATCCTACATAAATCTACTAGTATTTGGTCACTTTTTCCACCACAAACAGCCCAATAAGGTAAAATAAGCTAAACACAACAGGGTGAAATTGCCCAAATTCATTAATATTCAGTACTTCCTCCGTCCAGAAATGATTGTCCCCTAACAGACTTGCGACTGGAATAAGCTCAATATTTGGGCAATTCAGATGGTTCTTTTTTTATTAGGTTTGTCTTATTTGAGGCTACTTGAATGTGCAATGCGATTTATTGTCACACAAGCAATAATAAAGCTATGAAGCTTTGAGTGGGGCTATTTTTTTAGCCCATTTTTAAGTTACGGGTTGAAAGGGTTCCAACGGTCATTTTGATAAGCCGCTACTTGCATACGTTAGTGTAGGTCTATTACTATTCGAGACTATACGTAAGATTCTTATTGTTTGATTTCTTATAGTATTGGTCATTTGTGTTCAAAAGAGGTGCACCATACCATGCATTGTCAACATATTGTTTCCCGTGTTAATGCACTTTTAATTTCATCTGCAAAAATAATTTTTATTCACGCGCATGCTCGTTTCTAGCATCTGGTACTGATCCTACGTATTGTACACAGTCATATTTAATTCGGGGTTGAATGAAACTTTTTTTAGAGTGTTAAGTAATTAGGGGACTATCATATCTGGACAGTAAAATTGCAGTCACCGGACGGTCATTTCTGGACGGAGGAAGTACTACCCATGGGGGCAGCATCAGATCTTTCTGGGAATTGAACAAGTAGAAAGAGCCCTATTCAATTAATACACCCACATGATGGCTTTGTCTAAGGAGTTGTATTTGGTGCCAAATAAATTTTTGAAACAGGGCCTATGGAGCAAGGAATTTTGGAATAACAATAACACACCACGTCAGCTTGAAAAACGACTATAAGGAGAGCTCCCCAGGCCAGACTGAGTAGCAGAATCAATAGAGCACTATCTGGTTGAGAGGTACAGAGCAAAGAACCACCATCAGACAGGTGACTTTTGGTTGAGAATTTATGTGCAAGAAAGTGCAAGAAGGGATAGGTGCAACTAATGGTGCAATTGAAGTAACTTCTAGCAATGTCCAAAATGATAGGAAATAGTGCTCCCAGTAGCCAAATTGATAGAGAACTATCAGATTGAGGGATACAGAGTAAAGAACCACATCAGGCAACTTTTGGTTGAGAAGTTATGTCCAAGAGACAGGAGTGTGGTGCAATTGAAGTACCTACTAGCAACGTCCAAAACAATAGGAAAGAGTTCTCCCTGGGATAAGCTGAGAAGCCAAATTGAAAGAGCACTATCAGATTGAGGGATACAGAGCAAAGAACCACCATCAGGCGACTTTTGGTTGAGAAGTTACGCAAAAGGCAAGTTTGGTCTTCTGCAGTGCTGGATGGAATGAAACCAAATCACAAGCAACATCTGAAACGATAGGAAGCAGTGCTCTGGTGTAATTTTATTACAAATTGACTGGTAATCAGTTACTAAGAAATATATGATATTTCTTGTAATATTTGTTCACATTGGTACAAATTAGGAAAGCACCAGCTGTACAAATCCTACTGACAGCTGCCAGCATCAAGTTTGGTAATCAAGTTGATTACTGTATTTTTTAGAACAATTGCCTGCACCTAAAGAGAAGGAGTAATCAAAATCAATTGCTATTTTCAATTGATAGCACTAGAAAGTACTTTGTAAAACATTACCACTGCACTCCATATGATCCTTAAAACTGTGGAGAAGCTTGTGCAGCATGTGCACAAGTGCATACCCAAAATTTAGCCACCAGAACAAATGTACTCTGCTGTTGACATCTGTGTCAATGTTATTCTGGTGGGAAAAGATTTGTAGTACTACTGCACATTAAAGAGCATTTGGGGTCATCCCCAGCAGTAAGACAGTAGTAGTGCTTGAATAGTTTGTATGATCAAAAATTCATGTTTTCCCTTGTGCCAAAAGAGGCAGGGGCATCAATGTCCTCATTTCAAATTGTACTAGATAAAATTCAAAATTCCCTCAAGGACTGGATCAGGACTGGCAGTCTGTTTGCTGGTGAGAATCCATCTTTCAAGTTAATCCTGCCTGTTACTATTCTAAAAAAAACAAAGCATTATGCACTACAACTAAAAGTACATTGTTTAAAGTTTTAGATTGTCAAGAATAACAGGAATGACTGATTATTTCTGTACTTTGCCTACTGCTCACTCTTACTAGTACAGGACAACTGTACTCATACAATTAAGAATACCCTATGATGCTAAGAAGTAATGACTCCTGAATAGCTACTGAGGAACCTCATTCTTTACTACTGTACTAAACCAATGCACAACAATACTTGTGCAGAAACATAACTATGAAACCTGCTACCATATGATGTACTAGAATTTATAGTATGACTGGATGATTCCTGCAAAATCTGCTACTAGATTGAGCTGACAATTAGTAGCAGTAGTAGTAGAAGTGGTAGTTTGTACTAGTACTTTGTAGTAGGATGAAATGATGCTCCTCCTTTGGTCAAAAAAACTATTTGTGAGGTTTGGTTGCACCCAGTGCACATAAATTTTGTGCAGCTATATGGCATGGGAAATCAAAGATTCTCAAGCCTGCACAGGACCCCATTTTTGTGATTATTTTTGTGCCACAACTCTCTCCAGTCTGTTTGACATAATTATTCTACTGCATTTGAATCTAGTAGCTTTTCCTAATAGTAATAAAATAATATTCTAGTGTGGAGGTTGTGATACACAACCCCAACAATCACAATGGCAGTAACAACATCACTGAAATCAACTGGTGTAAACATCATGCATGGTTCTGATTGAGCTGGTATTAGTACAACTCTACCATTCTTCCTTCTACACTCCTCCCTGAACTGATCATTTCTTAGTTCTTTATTCTCAGCACACAACAGGTTAATAAAATGAGAACCAGTTGGGGAAGAGCAGTTTTCACTACTAGAACTAGTAGTAATTTGTAACCACAGTACTATCATTCTTGTTGCTTCCATGCTGTAGCAATTTGCTGGATAGAAAATGGCAAAAGCTGTTACTACTATGAACTGTCAACTTTGAAACAATCCTGTAGAGAAGAGTCCAAGAACCTAAAATGTTCCACAATCTTGTGGATACATATTATTCACAAACAATCACAACCCATTGCAACTGCTTGGTTGTGGGTTCTTATTCTAAAATCAGGGTGTGACAGCATGTGATAGGTTTCATTCACTTTTTGTGACACCCTCAATATCAAATAACAAAGATGAGAAACAACAAGAAGCACCTAGCATGACCACCAGCAACAAGAAAGCAACTAGGATGAAAAATAACACCAGCAAGAATCTCTCCAGCAGCACCACCAAATATGCTCCATGATATGAGCAAGTTCTGTATGATCTGCTGGATTTTAGCACAGACAGCCAAGGACAGGAAGTTCTGATACTGATACTAAGGATGTGGTCTCTAGGCAGCACCATTTGTCTTCTGTGTTGCTGGCAGAATTTATTGGTGTGGAGATACAAGCTAAAATAGAACAATGTGAGAAACCTCTGTAAGGTAGATTCTGATGTACTCCCTCTATCAGACAATGATCATCTGTTGAACCTAATTTTGCTGTCCATTTTTCAATGTTGAAACATGACAGCCGCAAAATATGTATAATCAGTACTACAAACTAGAAATGTAAATGGGTGTGATAAAAATTTATTTTATTTTGCACATGAAAGTTTATGCTTTATTAATGCCAACTACTGTTGGTGCTGAGCTTTGGTAGAAATAGACATACTAGTAGTAGTACTGCTGGTGTTGTCAAAAGTACCACATTTTCCATCACCATCACTGTTGTCATCACTGTCACTACTAATAATCATATTAGTAGCCCATCACATGAATTCTTAAAAAGGCATATTATGTTCTTAGTACAGGACCGGAGGTGTACTAGTACTACTAGTACTACTACTACTACTACTAGTAGTACTACTACTAGTAGTACAAAGAACATCATATATAATACTGGTATTATTTATATTAAGATATTAAAAAAAAATCTAATATAAATATGGGACTGCACTAGTATAAGATGTACAGAAATTACTAGTTCAAATTTGTGGTCAAGATTGATCACAAAAAACAGCCCACAAATTTGTTATTTCTGATCACATTTTTCTGTGATCAAAACTGATCACAAGAAGTTTTGGTACCAGGTGGGGATCCTGGCAATCTTTTTTTTTCAAAAAATTGAAATCGACATGGTTCCGGTACGGAACAATATGAAAAAACGCGCGATCGGTGCGGTGGCTCAACTGTACTCGTGCATACCCAGCGACCACCGCATATCGATTTTGAAAAATATTTTCCTTGTTTGTCGCGTCACGTCGACAATCTGTCGCTTTCGGCAGATACAAAAAATAAAATATTTGATTGGATGCGAAAATATATACCATGCTCTTCACAAGACATTTTCACATACGTATGCGAGAACAAGAAGAATGATAGCATCATCAGCATCTGGAGTTCTGCTTGTACTCATTGACGTACGAGTACGAGTAGTAGTAGTTCTCTTCCTCTACTCGTACCTTACACAACTTGTTTCATAATCACCATCGTTCCTTAGTGACATACTATGCTACGCGCGCGTGACACCTCCCATTTTACCGAAATCGGGAAAGAAATAGGGAAAACGAAAAATCTGTTGACGCGAGCCGAGCCACCTCGCTCAAAATTGAATGAGCGCAAAATTCTCATATTGAAGCATACACGTACCGATCCGCTTCACCACGTACGTGTTCTATCTTCTTGTTTGCGTAACGGATGCATCTCATAGCACGTAGAATCCAGTACACTCCGTAAAATGGAGTACAATGGGCAGGTGTCATCATCTCTCTGCCCGGGTTCTATTGGAGGAGCCGCGTCGCCGTTCGTTGTCGTTGGTAGTACCGGTATGTAATCGTACGAGTAACTTTGTACGTTACGACAAAAATACTTCACTTCATGTGACTGTCAAAAAATAATATTACAATTGCGAGCGTACTCTTACTCGTACTCGTACCGTGGCTTGTTGCTGATACAGTCAGTGATTCTAGGTACTTTTGCATGGTACGTGCACGTACTTGTCCAAGTGCTTTCACACACTAGTACTAGCTCAACAACAATCCAACCGCACTGGCTGCTCTCTATTTGGAGACAGGAATATCAAGAAGAAACAGGTCTCCTGGTCGTTCCTAGTTGGCGATCATCTGTTCGTTTGTCTCGAAAGAAAACGACACCAACCTCTGACTTCCTGCCTTTCATTCACATGCAATACCACTTGTACCACGGATAACATCGAACATAGCAAGAACATAGCAAGAACACACAGCAATGGCCTCTCAACGAATGGCCTGTCTCTTGGCGCTCGTCGCTGCCCTCTTTGTGGTCATCCCGAGAGCCCCCCTCGCATCGGCATTTGCCCCTAGCATCCCTTTGAAGGCTTCCACCAAGGCCCTGGTTCCCTCTGGTCCATCCAGCGATTCGGACTCTGCCCTTGGAGTGTACAACTCGTACGGATACGGACGCGACTGGGACTACGATTACGGCGGCGGCCTAGCTTTTGGGACCTCCCAATACCGCCAGCGCTACAACGATGGCTACTCGGGCGGTGTCAACCTGAGCCACAACGGCTACTCGCAACAGACCAATGTGGCCCGGGGCGGATACGGAGGCCTGGGCTACTATGACGACTACGGGGGCTACGGTGGCTACGGAGGACGCATGGGTGGCTACGGCGGGCGATACGGAGGATACGGAGGACGCATGGGGAGACGTGGAGGCTACGGATACGACGACTGGGACGACTATGGTGGATACGGTCGTCGCGGCTACGGACGGGGTGGCTACGGGGGCCGCTATGGTGGCCGTTACGGAAGCCGCTACGGTGGATACGGCTACGATGATTACGATGACTATTATGGTGGATACGGTCGTCGCGGCTACGGACGCGGTGGTTACGGCTACGGACGAGGTGGCATGGGCAGCTTTTACGGCGGTCGAGGCTACTACGACGACTACGACGATTACGGTTACGGCGGCATGTCGTACAACTCTGGTGTCAATACCTCTCGGAACGGACGATCGATGCAGTTCAACTCCGAGTACGGAGGCAGAAACCTGTATAACGGTGGATATGGCCGTGGAGGAGGCTACGGTTCGTCCTACAACTACGGTCGAGGTGGATATTTCTACTAAGCAATCGGCGAGTAGCTGTATCAGAGCGTGATGTAGCGAATCGCAATCAATTACACACCTCACCAGACCACACAGCTCTGTCGAATCTTGGTGCGCAGAGTTAGTGGAATGATGTGTTTGGTGGCCCAAAAAAAAAGGGTATGGAAGTATGTATTTATGTAGGCATGTATGGACGATATGAGTGAAATAATTAGCAAAATGCAATTTGTTCGGAACGAAACAAAACTAACGGATGATCTATTATTATCCAGGATTTGGGTCTTGATTGCTCAGCGGATAGATAGGTTGTAGGATAGGATATAGGATTGAAGACAGGTAATAGGTCAACGGATGGGGGAAACGAAACGAAGCGAAACGAAAAAGAAATCATTTTGTTAACAATGGATTAAATGAAAAAACGAAATATTCTATACAGTAAGACGCACACTACAACAACGTTTGCACGCGTGCAGCACAACCTTATCTCTACACTGGAATGTAATGGGATTCGTCTTGGTGTATCCCCGTGACATTTGCGCAACGGGGGACATCATCCAATGGACGTCAGACAGCGAGCTGGCAATCCAGCTTGTTTGTCTCCTTTTTGTTTTTCGTCTTCTTTGAATAATGCGAAGCCCAATGCCGTAGTGCGGTTAGACAGAGATCTTCTGTAGTCACCGTCCTCTTCATCACCACATCTTGCTGCATTTTGTATTTTTTCGATTAGCATCAATTTGTGGTAGCAGAGGGTACGATTGTTGTAGGGAGAAAAGGGAAATGATTGTTTCGTCTTCCACCTTTCATTTTTCATCATACAATCATACAATCATGTGTTCTTTAATGATTCTATCGTGAACCAATTCTAAATTCTACACGTTCCATGCAATCACACATAGCGTAAGACCGATTCCAGCTGTCAAAACCACTGAGGAGGAGGGACACAACAGACAAGCACAAAATATCTTGACCCCAACCCCAACCTCAACAGTATGATGGCAGGACACCAAAGAATAAATAACAAACAGATTGAATGTGCATGATCCTCTCTCTGATAGGGGTCATAAATTTTAGAGGGATACAGAACACCTGTTTCTGAAAACTCTTATTCTTCCATCCTTGGCACCAATATGAAAAAATCTCCTCTATTTTTTTCAGTTTCCATTTGTACTGCATTATCCAACTTGTAGGTAGTCATAGCTTATTAAAAAATACTACTACTGTCTACTGCTGTCTACACCATTAGCAGTTTTTCATGAGGATTCTGAATATCAATATTTCTTCAGTACTTTGTTGTAGTAGACTAGTAGTTAGTAAATGCATTTTCAATTTCACTCCTATCAGTAGATACCACAGTAATATAGCACTGTCAGTATAAAGTGGTCTTTCCTTGATTTTGCTTATTGAAATAATTCAGTTTGAAATTGTAATACAACTTGTTGGTCAAAATTTGCAATGCAGTACACTTGGTACTGTACTCTTGTAACAGGACCTTAACTCATTCTTTCCTTGTTGTTTTACAAATCACAAGAACAATTCTGTTCCTTCTATGGCTTTGTTTTTGTCAATTGTAAACTCATTTCCTTGCATTTCCTCCCAATTCTGTAAACCAGTTTCCTTAGTAATTCAATTCTAACTTTCAACAACAGAAAATGCCAATGCTACTACACTAAACCACCATCACCAAACAGTTGTGATAAATTCAAAAAAGCAACAATCACCAGCAATAGATCAAGAATGATCACCATGGTAGGAGGAGGACACTGAGGAGGATGAAGACACTGAAGGTTGATACAGATGCTGCTGCAGACATTGGTGCTATGGAATGGTGATATGGAATGGTGATACAGAATGGTGATACGAAATGCTGATACATAATGCTGGTGATACAGGGAACGCTAATGCCATGGATGATGCTAACATGCAATGCCAAAGAGCAATATTGATGCAGAGGATGCTGATGCTGACAATGCTGACATGATGGTACAATTCACCACTAAGTTGACACTGCCCATATCAGTTGTCAAGGACTGTTTCCCAATAGAGAAAATCATTCTTGCTGATGCTTGACACCATTCCTTGGTGGCCTTGAAGGTCTCATGAACAGATGAGGAGGCTTGAAAGGTAACATCATGGGGTTTGAGAATCACAGCTGTAGGAAGCTCAACTGGAGGAATAGTTGAAGGGTCAGCAATAAACCAATTGGGTGAGGAATTTTCCCTTAGTCTTGGTGCACACCCTCCCTTTGTAGCATCAGCTGGCACATGGCAATGCAATGGAACCCTCCTATACTAATAAGAATAGATAATGTTGTCATACCAGTCAAAGAATGTTTGCATGTCCTCATTCTTTCTCAACAAAACAATKTACCCAACTTCCAAACTTCTTGCATCAATGTCAGAATTCATACACATAACTGAACAAACTTCAATGAAAATGGATGGTTTCTCTGGCATCTCACTGTTACTCAAACCACTGAAGATAGCAACCATGGGGAATATATGGCCAGATGGAGTGGCTCCTTCACACCACTTGGCAGATAAACCATTGTACTTCACTTCTTCTTAGTTCAATTACAATGGGTTTCATGGCATGGTCATTAATCTGTTGCATTACTACTCTATGAGCAAGAGAGGAGCCTTTGGGAAGTCCCTTTGGTTTGTCATAGGACCCCTTGATAAAACTGAACACCATCAATATAGCAGCTTGTGACATTACATTTCTCATGGATGTGCCTGCCATTTGCCATCTTGCACCTTGCAACCTTTGCACCAGATGGCTTGATGAGCGAGATTCCAGCAGATAAGAAACTCAATTGGCTGATGGTGTACTTCTTAACATCATGACTGCAAATAGGTGTGGGCTTTCCGTTTGTTTTGGATCCTCTTTCTACCATCTCATGTTGACAAATATTTCCACCAATGTCATTTGAAAGATCCTGCAGAGTGTCAACTTTCCCTGAATTCTGAAAGAAGAATCTAGTATTCTTGTTCAGACTTGGAAGATTGCTGACAGAAGTGCTGGGCTTCCTCTCCTAATGTCCTCATCACCTTTCAGTGGGAGAATCTTCTTCTCATTTTAGTTCCTAACCCATCTTCTTGTTTGAAGAGTGCATTAGTAGTTTACAACATATTTTCCCCCTTTGCTCAACACCATCTGCGTGAGAGGAGGCTTCACTGCTGAATAATTAAATGGTACTGGATACTTTGTGTCAACCTGAGTAAGCACTACCAATTGTCCCAAGCAAAAGTATTGTGATCCTTCTCATCATAATTCTCAAATTGGGTCACAATGCTACTAGTACTACTATCAGCTGACTTTGTGGTGCATGACCTTGTTCTTCTTGTTCTTCTTGTTGTTTGTTGCTGAAGGAGGTGATACTACTACTACTAGTACTAGAGTACGAAATGGAGAAAAATTTTGATCAGAAAAAATACTGGGAGGACAATGATGACTTAAATGAGCTGAAGTCAAAGATACGGGCTGTATGAGACCCCCGGTCTTAGTAATCATGACGAAACGGGGTTGGGGTTGGGGTTGAGGAATTGAAAACCGACCTGAGGAATTGATGAAGTGGCAAAATATTTTCGT